CTAATTCAGGTCACAGGGAGAAGCAGGTCAGTGTTCGTTGGCTTTCAGAGAAGACACAGGGAAATGCTAGACCAGGCAGCAGCCTAATCTCACAGAATTAGTCGATGGAGCCGGTTTTTATGGAAGTGAATTCCCAAGGTTTCTCTGGAAGAAGATCCCTGGTTAGAGATCAGTTGGGCTGAAGGTGGATTTTTTAGAAACCTGAGGGAAATATAAATTCTAGCAACTACTCTGGAATTGATGCTTACCAGAAAAGAGTACATTTGACCACGATGTTCCTTGGGAACACAAAAATTGACCCTGAGCATTCAACTGTCTTCCAGTGGGTTCCTGAGGATGCAGACTCTTCCTAGAGGTATTAATCTGTTGAAAGAAGGACTAATTATGACACCCCTCCTCACTTTACAAATTGCATTTTCCCTAAAGCCTGTCTGTAATATTTTTCATGAATTTTAAATGTTTCTCTCTAAGCAATGCTATCTCTTTCTGTATTATACAGTACTAATAATCTCTTACAGAACTTAAACTCCATTTACAGCAGAGATTGTGGGACTCACCACATATTCCTGCCCTTGCCTTCAGCCTCTGAAGTTCTTTTTAATGAAATTACTCTTTCCTCCTTAAGGAGAAGGACCGTGTTTTATACATCTTCTGTATCCTTCATGGGTCTTAGAAAACTTAACACATGGTTCTCCATAATTGGTTGCTTTTCTTGATGTTTTTCTGTTTGTCTTGGCTGCCAAGAAGCTCAATCCTTGTGCTTATAAAATTAAGTCTGCATATCTTATATATGGGTTCAGTTATCTTTATTATTTGTATTCAACTTTTAAAAGAGCATAGGGTATTAATTTATTGAAAGAAAATAATGGTGTTTTTGTCCAGTTGAACTCACTCTTTTGTACCAAACTATATTTAATGTTGTATATATTTCTAAAACTGTATGATTTAAAGCAAGGGTTCTTATTCTCAGATGTATGTACATATGGGCTTCAAAGGAGTCTGTATACTTCATATGTACACATATGAACACACATACAAACATATATATAAAATATTATATATAAACACAGCTATGCACACACACATACATATACATTGTGTGTGTGCACATCTTTGGAGGGAGAGTGCCTCTAGCTTTCATTAACTTATCCAAAGGATCTATGACTCTTACCCACTCCCCCTTCCCCGAAGTTAAACTACTGATTTAAAGGGGTCTGGAAATAAATATTCACCACTACTAGTCCATACAGCTCTGCCCTCAATTCTTCCTCCCCGTTCTGTAAACACCATCATTCATTTCTGACATTCCCAGGGTTGTTCTTCTGACTAAGCAACTAGATGAATAGCTATTGTGGCTCCAGTTCAAAGAGATACAACCAGGTGGTTTTAAATGCCAAAGGAGACTGTGGATAAAGTGAAGGTTCCTAGGCCAGGATTCTCACCTGGCCCTGGTTGGCTAGTTCATTACACCCATGTGGGCAATACATTGTTATTGAATCCATACAGAGCTCCGCCCAGCACTCTGGGTGACTTGGTGGTTGCATGGCTGCAGGGCTGCAGGCCTGCAGGAGAGCAGAGATGAGACTGGAGTGGTGGCAGTACTGAGGACAGGTACTGAAACGGCTGTGCAGGCAGAGAGGCCCAGAGGCAGAGACAGGCTTGCTGCTGCATGCAGCCTTGCTCTGAGTGGATGGGATTCTAGTGATTGACCTGCCACGGTGGGAATAAAGTTGGGAATAACCCTGTCACCCCAAGAACGTTCCATTGTCATTCTTTGGTCTCACTGAATCCATAGTGAACTTGCCTGGGGCTGAAACCCATTGGCAAGACAGAGACCCATAGTTAGATTTAGACCAGAGAGAGGTCAGGGCTGCAGGGGAAATCTGCTTCTGCCTGAGGCCAATGCGGAGGAAGCAGGTTTGCCTCCCACCTCCCTGTCCAGTTTAGCCCAGGTACAGAATTGCCTTCTGATTGTGCCTGGCTGTAGTTATGAGCTGGTGGGCAGCAGGGCCACTGGCCAGAGGTAGTAGTGGGCAACGCAAGCTTCAGATTGCTGGGTGTCAAGCTACAGAAGTTAAATCTGCCAAAGAATCAAAGAGGCATGCCAGCAGCGTTTTCTGCATCTAGGTGAGGAGGCCGTTCAGGAGGTCCAGATGTTTTTTCTCCATGAAGCAGCCAGTGTCCTGCCTGCCCAGGCCGTCCTGTAGGAGGGAGTGAGGTGGAGGGTATCTGCTCTATCACTCTGCCACCTCATCCACCAGTGAAGCCCAGCTCTGGTCCGTTTAATTGTGAGACTCAGTCTTCTTGTTCCCTGTAGGAGGAACTTGGCCATTTGACCACTTTTGCCCCTGCTCTCTCCTCCCCAGAGGAGGGGTGATTTATCTGACTGGGGTTCATGGGAGCAGCCTTGACAGTGAGGGGCTCAGCCCCTCCATCCATGCTAGCTTTGGGACCAGCTTGCCTCAGAGACTATGTACCCCATCTCCTGGGGATTGATTGGGCAGGCTCCTTTGTGGGAGACTTGGGGGCTGTCCAGGGCTGTCATGGTCATGCTTAATTTGGGGATGTGATTTGGCTGTCCCTTGGTTCCTCCATCTAAGCCACAGTCTCCGAAAGCTTTGAAGGGGATAAAAGTGGTGCTTTGGTCTCCATCTGCCTGACTCCCGTGTTTATCTCTGTGGGGAAAATGGAAGTTCCTATGGCCAGGATCCTCACCTGACCCTAAACTACTTGATGACGTAACTGGCCTATTGCTAGGCTACTGCCTCCACACCCGTAGGCAATGAGCTATTACTGACTGAGTCACTATATAAAGAACTGCTCAGTGGCAGAGATGGAGGGGAGGTAATTTTAGTGCTTGACCTATCACTGGGAAATAAAGCTGGGTATAAACCCTTTTACCCCAAGAATGTTCCATTGTCATTTCTTGGTCTTACTGAATCCATAGTGAATTCACCCAAGGCTAAAACTGTCAGGCAAGACAATCTCCCAAGTTGGTTCTGAATGTGAGCAGGTAAGAGAAGGGTGCTTGGAATTAATTCTCTAAAATTCCAATAATTACTCTTGAAGCAAGGCTTTAGAAAAGCTTGAACTCTTCTGATCTCAGGCACTGTGGGTGGTCGGCAGCACAGGGGTCAACTGGCCTGGCTGATGGTAAGAGGAAATCTTGGAGAAATGAGGGAGCAGGGGTGAAGTGGAAACCTTGCCCTCTTTCAGCCTTCAGTGGCCTCTCTTTCCTGCTTCTGTTGTCTGGACATGGGCTGGCCCCTCTTCTCCTTTGCTTGTCTTAGGCCTCTGCCCTGTCCTTTGCATGGTCACTGGTTCCCTTTTCAGAGTCTTGGCTTCTTGATGACAGTGGCCTTTCTGTGTGTGTTTGTTTTCCTGGCCCAGGTTCCCCTCCCCTTTCACTAGCTATATTGGGAGTGTTTGGAGCAACTTTGTGAAATGAACTAAGCAGTGGGTCCCCGAGCAGTCTCTGCATCTGAGGAAGCTGATTGGGACCTCTGGAAGTTCATCTGAGCTGACCTGCAGCCGTAAGAAAGGGTCTGCCCTGAAGTCCTCAGGAGGAGCAAGGGTTGGGGGTACAGATGCCACCAAGTGGGTAGGTGCGGCAAGGGGCGACCCCAGAGAAACTCACTGGGCTGCAAGTGTCCACAGTGCCCAGCAAACTGCCCGGGTATCATAAGGTGAGAAAATCCCACAGAGGGAGTACATGGCCACCATGAAGTTCTAAAGCGTTTGAGGATTCTGACCGAGCAAGACAACAGCTGTGACAGCTGTGGATATCAACTCAACAGTCCCTTCCTTCCCTAGGATTCTGGGAAAATCCGTTTCACCAACCCTCTACAAAAAGTTCCTTAATCACTCAGAAAATGGTATTTGCCTGAAAAACATTCACTTTTTTCTTATCAGCAGGCTCATGCTGCCAGCAAAGGTAATTCTGTGCTTGCTTCTAAAAATGTACAGGGTTATGGACCATGGAACAGATGTTTGAGGTTTATGACTACCCCTGCTCAAGCATGATTTTCTTTAAAATAACAACTTTTAGTCTCCTTCTAATATGCACCAACTGTGCTTGCTAGAAGCTTTTCTCTCCTCTAACACAGACTCTCAACTCCCCTTCCTATTGGCTAGGTGGTTCCAAGAATGTCGACTTTTGTAAAATGCTGGCCTTTGGTTCAGGCTGAAACTCGGCCAACTGCCCTAATCGTGCACGAGGAGTTAAATCTCCCTGAACCTGGCCTTGCTGTGTTTGCTCTGATGAGCTCTTCTCATTTCTGGTCAAAAGATGAAGCTTGGTCTTTCTCTCCTGGGTTGAATTCCTGGAGCTGAATCAGGTCTGCTGGGGTTGCATTACCTCTTCATTGTGTTAAATAAAAAACAAGGGCAGGTGGTTGTATAGAGGCCCTGGTGAGTAAATCCAAAGCACCTGTGAAAACTCAAAGTCAGTATTTTCTTTAAAGGGAAGGAAAAGAGAATGTACACAAGTGTAGGTAGTTTGACTCAGCTGCTGTAGCAGAGGCGACCTGGATATCAATGCCTGGCTTCTTTAGCTGCTCAGTGTGTCCTTAGGGTCACAAAGTTGGGCACTGCCCTCTGTCAACTCAGCATTAACAAGGTACCCCAGTATTTCAAACAAAATTGCTTGGCAGTTCTTATGCTCTCAGTGGTAGTGGCTACATTCAGTGGAAGCTCAGCTGGGACACCTCTATTTCTACCACAAGGAAAATGACGAAAATATCTCTTGCGCTTTCTACATGCTCTCTACAGTGAACTAAATGTTTTATATGGATTATTGTGTTTAATCCCCACAGCAACACTGTGAAACGACTTCCCATTTTCATGCACATATGATCAAACTGAGGCTTAAACAGGAAAAGTAATTCACCCACACTCATACAGGTTGTAACTGATTCAACTTATGGTTGTTCTAACACCAAAGTCCATGCATGCTATAAAAGTCATTCTCATGTTTTCTTTTCTCTTTCTATATGTTTCAGTTACTGGCCAATCGTGATTTATTATCTCCACAATTACATGGGCAGTTCTTATGCTCTCAGTGGTAGTGGCTACATTCAGTGGAAGCTCAGCTGGGACACCTCGTTTCTCCATGTGGCCTCTCTCTGCATGTGGTGTCTCATCCTCCAGGGCATCTCCACCTGGCCTCTCTCCAGCAGGACAGCCTGGACTTCCTCACAACATGGCAGCTGGGATCCAAGGAGCTTTCCAAGAAAACAGGCTTCATCCTGTAAGTACTTACCAAGCCTCTGCTTGTATCACACTTGCTAAAGCCTCATTGGCCAAATCAAGTCACATGATCAAGCTCAGCTTCAATGCAGGAGGGGACTTTACAAGGGCGTGTATAGCCGAGGTGTATTCATTGGGGAGGCCACAATGTAACAGTCTGCCTCACCAGTATTAATAGCAATAGTAACAATATCTGTCAGTTACTGGGCTCTTACCATGTGCCACTTAGGGTGATTGCTCTTTCATTATCATAGCAACACAACCTATCAGGTTGGTATTTTATAACCTCAGTTTACAGGGGAAGAAATTGAGGATCGGAGACTCTAAGTAACCCGATAAGATGACAAGAGTGAATTCAAACACTGGGTATTTTATTTACAAGATCTCAAAACAGGAGAAAGAAGTGTGGTGTGCAGAAAATGAAGAAGAAAAAACGAAAAGGAAAGAGTATATTTTTAATAGCATGGGTAAAAATAGGCCTTGGAATTTGGAAGTAAAAAAGAAAGGCATAGGTCAGTGGCCTTTTGCGCTAGGTACTGTAGTATGTATGGGGCCTTCCTGTACCAAGTCTGACTTTCTTAACATTGCAGTCATCCTTTCTACTGGTATTTTGAATGGAGAACACAGTAAAAAAATTGGGTATAATTAGGCTCATCAAAATATAAAGGAATAGAATGCAACTTTTCTTTTAATCAGCCTCTTGTTTTAATCCTTGGCAGTAAGAGCCAGCCTTTCCTCTGGCTGTGTTTTCAAAAAGTTCTCCCCGGAACAATTTGGGAAGCAGAGAGCTGGAGAAAGAACAGCGGTTGGAGGGAGCTTATACACCCTGTAATAATGCAGATTTCAAAACACAGCTTAAATTTTTGGAAAATCCCTTCATGAGCATGAAAAGTGCACCAACTTGTGTTCAGATGAGTCTGCCAACTGAAAACCACCATGACACTTGAGCGCAAATGTTCTCTCCTTCCCTCCCAGGGGCTTCATTCCGGGTGACACACACAGCGTTTGGCCTGTCTTAGGGCTGAGAGCATGTGAAGTGTGGGCATTTGGAGGGGGAGGGGGGCTTGGTTGGGGGGCAATATTTAAAACCCAGGGAATCATATGGCAAGGTTAATGGAAACTTATATTAAAATATGATACCTCCAAAAATAATTTCTTGCAAGCAGTAAGAATTAATACATTGTGAAACAAACAGAACTTTCACTATTAACCTTCGGGAAGAAAAAAAAAGGGGGTGGCTGGCTCAGTGGAAAATATCTGCTGTCATTTTTTTTCTTGCCTTTTCCATGCTAGATGGCACTAATTGATTGAAGGGCTTGATTGTTTTCAGGGAGGCTGGGGGGTGCTAAGAGAAACAGGGATTAAATTAGACCCGTGATTTTTGGTTTATCATAGTGGGGGACAGCGGTGTCCCTATTTTATTTTCACCCTTGCGTCTGTCTCATTACTTTCCTATTGTTTTGGTCTTAAAGGTAATTTTTAATTTTAAGTACATTGCTTGGTTTTTATGAATGTGGATATTCTGAATGTACACTTGGAGGAAAACTGACTAACGGATCTGCAGAATCACTGGGGTGGGTGTTGACAGATCTGATGGACATTTGCAAGGCGTTTCCTTGTATCCCCTTCCCCCACCCTGCACCCTAGTGGAAGTGGTTGAATGGTATAAAGATCCTAGAAAAATAGCATTTCTTTTTTTTTTTTTAAGATTTCATTTAATTTATATCAATGTTCTACTTATTGGCTTTACTTACATACTTTGCTCTCATGCCGCCATTTTAATCTCTCCAGCCGAAAAATAGCATTTCTTAACCAGTTTATTTCAAAGTGAAATCCATAAAGGAGTCATTTTATCTGAGCAAATAACAAATTCTTACAGAAGCTTGTAATCGCTGTCAACTTTCCCCCTCTACCCCCCAAAAATAGACTTTGCGGTGTGACATGAGGACAGAAAATGATTCATATGTGAGTTTATAATTCATTTTAGAAATAAAGCTGTGCCTATAAAGCACAGTCCAGGAAAAATAAGAAAGAATGAATAGCCTTAATGGCACATCAGACTACTTGGGCCAAAATAAAAATATTTGGTATAACTTAAAATAGGTCTATATTTATATTTTGAAATAGCAATTAAAGTGTCCTTTGCCTTTTGAATAGCCATTTTAAAATAGTTTTGTAATAGTCATATAGTGACTTCCAATTTATGAATGGATCATATGCTTTGATCTCGTCAATGACTCTGGAGAAGGACTGTCATGTACTGTTGTTGACAGATAACAGAACAGAGGCTGAGAGATTTTTTGTCATTTCCTAAGGTCATAAGTGATAGAACCAGGACTTGAACTTGGATATTATGGCTATAAAGCTGATTCTCTTTCTATTAAATTGTTCCGAATCTCATTCTATAAGGCTTTGTAACAGTGGTAGCCATGGGCCTACTCACTCATGATCTGTGTGACAGAAAGTTCTGGTCTTAGAATTAGGAGAGCTAGCTAGAGTTTCCTCTCATGTTATGTATCTGAGTGACTCGAAAACTCTCCAAGCCTCAATTTTATCGTCTGTAAATGGGAGGGAGATATTTATCTGTAAGGTTGTTATAAGAACAATGATCATGAATGTAAAAATTCTTTGAAGAGGCTAAAATGCTCTACAAAGATACAGCACTATTATTTATTAAGCACAGACTATCTATTTAACAATAGGCCAGGAGCTATGAGAAATTCGGAAGGCTTTGTTATGGTCTTTCCTGACAGCTTCTCCTTACTTCTTTCCCATCCATTCTAGAAGCTCCATGCCCTAGTCACAATGGACTTTATGGTTTTGCCTACATAAACGTGCCTTTTTCTATCTCTGTGCCTATCTCTTTATAGAGTCTTAAAATAAAGAAGGCTATATTTTAATAAATAATACTATATTATTAAATTAGAGTTTCATCTGATGTGACTGATCTGAGCAACTTGAATACTCTCCAAGCCTCAATTTTATCATCTGTAAATTGGGGGGAGGTATTTATCAACAAGGTTGTATGAGAACAAAGATCTTGAAGGTAAAAACCTTCTGAGTTTCTTGTGTAGCTTCTGGCCTACTGTTATTTATACATTTTATATTAAATAAGACCATACTCTTATTAAAAAAAAGAGACTCTATTTTAGTCTTCCATCTGGAATGCCCTTCCCATAGGAACTCTTGTGCATCTGGCATAGGCCCTTTCCAACTCTTCTGGGTAGAGCTACTTTTTCCTCTTCTGTGCCCCTGTACTTTTCCAATAGAGAACAGGAGGTTTAGCCAATAGCCGCGGGAGGTAAGAGATGAGGAAGGGGAGAATGGAGGTGACAGAGGATGATGGCTAAAGACCACATGCTCAACAAACCTCACCAGAATTGCCTAAATCCTAAAGAGCTTGACTGGAATAGTTGGTTTTTGTTTGTGTTTTGGCAGCAGTGGATGGACTTGAACCAGAGACATTCAGTGTGAATACAGGAGGAGGGGTGCAAAGAAAATAGCAAGGTACAGGCATTGTTAGAGAGCATGAGAAGGGCTGCTAAGTGTCCAAAGACAGAGATTTGGGGTTTGGGCCAGGATTAACCAAACCTCTGAGGAACGGAGCTGGAGAGCAGAGGGAGAGGGAAGGTGGTACCTGGGTGACAATGTCAATATGAATTGTTTCTGCCAAGCAAGAAATTGGCTGTGTGTCTTAAGGAATCATTCGTATTAAAGCAAAATGATACTTCAGTCCTCTTCATAGACATTACTGTGGCCACCAACCCTTAGACCCATAGTCCATGAATGTCAGTCCTCCAACTGTGTTGTTGATAGAGGACAAGTTTTCACTTGTCTCTGGCTAACTGAGGAAAGTCAGCAATGGTGTGAGTCCTTTGTAACACCAAATTAATTTAAAGAATTATCCTTTTTCTGGAAATCATGTTCTTGTATATCTTTGTTATACATGTCATTTCTTTAATGAACTGATATGAACTGACTTTTTTTTTTTAATGTACTGAGATGGCCAAGTTAAAATGTGTCAACTTTATGCCCATCTCCTAAATTTCTTGGAAATTTCACTAGTCTATAAAATACAAAAGTCTAGAAATCACTTCTCTTAACGTGACCCAAAGTATAATTTCAATTAGCTAGTTTGTCCTGAATGAAATGGAGGGAAGAATTATTTTTAGTCCCTAAGCCCACTATTGCTAGTCTTGGTTGGTGGTGTTTAAGGTAATGCCTTGTGAATCACATCATCTGTAGGCCCTTCAAATTAAAATCTGTGAGGGCAGAAATCGCCACAGGGCCTCTCTGAGGACTGTCTGCATATAAACCGAGTTTGGTTCTGTAATCAATATGCCATTCAGCAAAGTAAATCCTGCACCTAGTACAAACAATACCTTGCATTGTATTATTATACAACAGTGTTTATGTAATGATTATATATTTTCACTTACCTAATTATGAAATGCACAATTGTTACGCTGCACAGTAATTGACCACAAATGGCACCCATTTCATGTAAATGCTGCAATTCCTGTGACTTTCTGTATCAGGGCCAGTGTCATGGGCATGCAATCTGTGTAGTCCCATAGGACCCCATGCTCAGGAGGCCTTGAGCTTAGTTTAGTACTCTGCAGTCACTATCTTGAAATTGTAAATAATTTCTAAACGGGGCCCCACATTTTCCCTTTACACTGAGTCTGTGAGTTACGTAGCACCCTGGCACTGGCCTCTGCCTTGTTCTAGAAGCCAGGCTCAGCTGGCTGTAAGTCTCACTGAGGCTACCTGCTGGAGGGAAGGGCAGAAGAAACTGGACAGTGTGATTTTTTTGCTAAAAGATCAGAGGCCCCAAATATGTCCCCATGGCCTAACATCCCACCTGATAGAGATCATTTGGATTAATGCAAACCAGCCACCCTGAAAGGGTTATGGGGTGGGATGGGGCACTCCTCTCCCTTCTTTGGTATAACCCTTGTGCTGGAGGTGTCTGCAGAAGGAGGTGGGTGCTGCTGGGAG